TAAAATATAAAATATTCAATTATCATTTTACTTAACTGTGTTTTAATTTAATTATAAATTATTATTTTATAACATTATTTTAATGAGAATTTCAATTCTTTAAACTTTAAGTTAAATTATTGTAGTCAAAATTAATATTAAATATTGTTAATTTACACAAAATACTTTTAGAATTAAGAACTTAACATTTCTTTAGTGTTTGAATCAAATGCACTTAAGTTTAATATTTAAATAATTAACTTCTTTATTCCCGGTCAAGAACACCATTCCTATACACAAGCCCCTTTCTTCTCGACGTGTGATACTCGTCTCATCTTCTTTCCAGATCATACGACAGCTCCTCTACAAAGCTGCTACAACGTCTTCCTCTTGGTCTCCCTCGATTGCGACTCGACATGGACGATAACACCTCCTCTGCTACGCTCCCTTCTCCTTGCCCTAGCCACACTCACTACAGCCGCCGAAGCCCGCACGATCTTGAGAGCCCTCCATTTCCCTCGAGGCTATCGTTCTCCTCTCAAGTAAGTCATTTCTTGCCTCTGTTGCCCCTCCTACATGTCAATTTATACACAAAGATATCATTTGTGTTCCGAACCCTTCTCGCATTGTCAGCCCCCCTCTTCATTTTCCCGACTCCTCATTTACTCTCCCTTCTATTCAACTCTTCCTTTCCTCTTCCTTGATTAACTGAAAGAAGACGCACAAAGGGAAGCACATTGTTCTCTTGCCCATCAAAGATTCTGGAGGAGCAGATATGCACGTCGCTGAGAAGCCTGTGATCCCACGTGCCACCTTCATGCAGTCAATACAGAAAGCCCCAGTGGCGATCAAATTGGGTGTCTTAGAAGGTACTTAGGAGACGAAGCCACCAGAAATGATCCAGGTAATGCTAGATGAATTTGGGGCATGATGATCGACAGTCTACCAGAGGGTCGTTTCCCCTGCTTAGGGATATTCAACACGCCATTGCCTTATTCCGATATCGGAGTACCAAACAGGCCTGCCTACAGACTGGAGACCAGTAGAGTGCGAGGAGTTGCAATGACAGGTGCAGGATCTTGAGGGGATTGGTGAGAGAGAGCATCAGCCCATGTGTTATTCCCGCTTTGACGGTGCCTAAGAAGGATGAGTTGTGCAGGTTTTGCATTTGATAGTCGAGATATCAATAAAATCACTATCAACTATAGGCACTTTATACCTTGTGTGGACAATCTATTAGACCAATTGTATGGATTTGTTATCTTCTTCAAGATCGACTTGCACTGCAGCTATTAGCAATAGGATGAGGCCCGAAGATGAGTGGAAGTTGGCCTTCAAGACCAGAGATGGACTATACGAGTGGAACAGTATGCCTTTTGAGCTATCTAATGCCTCTAACATGTTCATAAGGTTGACGAACCAGGTGTTCTAGGCTTGCAGTAGAAAGTTTGTGGTTGTTTACTTCAAATTGTTTACTTCAAAGACTACTTCAAAGACATCCTCGTCTACAGCCATTTGGAGCAAGAATACTTCAAGACCAAAGATGGACTATACGAGCTTGCAGTAGAAAGTTTGTGGTTGTTCACTTCAAAGACATCCTCGTCTATAGCCATTTGGAGCAAGAATACTTCAAGACCAAAGATGGACTATACGAGTGGAACAATATGTCTTTTGAGCTATCCAATGCCTATAACATGTTCATAAGGTCGTCGAACCAAGTGTTCTAGGCTTACAGTGGGATGTTCGTGGTTGTTTACTTCAAAGACATCCTCGTCTACAGCCATTCTACAGCCATTTGGAGCAAGAATACTTCAAGACCAGAGATGGACTATACGAGTGGAACAGTATGCCTTTTGAGCTATTCAATGCCTCTAACATGTTCATAAGTTTGATGAACCAGGCATTCTAAGCTTACAGTGGGAAGTTCGTGATTGTTTACTTCAAAGACATCCTCGTCTACAGCCATTTGGAGCAAGAATACTTACAAAATTTTGGACTGGTCTTTGAGTTCTACGAACCAAAAAAGCTATATGCCCACCCGAAGAAGTGTCACTTTTTAACACCTATGACCTATTTTTTGGGTTATATTATATGTGGAGTCGGTATTTAGATGAATCTAGTGAAGATTGAAGACATGTGAGTTGAACACCCTGGAATCGTTTTATGAAGGTAGGACGATTTATGAGGCTGGCATCGTTTTACAAGAGGTTCGTCAGGAACTTCAACACCATCACAGCTCCGTTGACAGAGCTGTTAAAAGGAGAGAGATTCCAGTGGACCAAGATATCCCAGTCAAGTATTGACACTCTGAAGGAGAAGGTGACAAGGACCTCAGTGCTAGATTTACCAAATTCAGCCAGTTGTTTGAGGTGGAGTGTGACACGTCCAATTGAAGATTAGGGCAGTGTTGAGCCAAGGAGGACATCCCATAGTTTTATTTAGTGGGAAGTTGAACAAGACAAGGAGAAAGTAATAAACATATGACAATGAAGATTATGCCAGTGTGAGAGTTCTTAATCATTGAAACCACCACGTAATGACGAGCGAGTTCAAGCTATTCATGGATAACCAAGAACTGAGATTTTTGAACAACCAAAGCAAGTTGAAGAGCAAACAAAATTCTTCGGTGGAATTCCCGATATCGTTCCAGTTCGTTCGTGCTCAAGCAAAAGGCTGAGAGACAGAATTGAGTAAAAGATGCATTCGCTCACTTGTTGATCACATCCACGTAAGCCCAAGCTGTGGGATTTGAGGAGATGAAGGGGTTGTACGAGGTTGATGAAAAGTTCAGGGAGATTTGAGACGAGAGACCCACAGGACCCTACCACAAAGCTGAGGGTTATTTGTTCCACCAAAACTAGTTGGAATTCCTAAATCCTCGCTGAGGGAGGCCATCATTCAGGAAAACCACAACGGAAGACTAGTATGTCGCTTTGACAGAGATAATACCCTCACACTAGTAAAGGAGCGCTTTTTATGGCCCAAACTGGTGACGGACAAAGAGCGGCACATCCAATCCAACAATGCAGACTTTGCCAATTAACCAAGAACCGAGGGCAAAATATAGACCTATACACGCTGCTACCAATACCAGAGGCTCCTTGGGTAGATGTCAGTATGAATTTTGTGGTTAGTCTTTTGAAGATGTAGAAAAATAAAGATTCAGTGATGGTCGTGGTTGACCGACTCTTGAAGGTGGCTCATTTCATACTGTGCCGCAGAACATTGGACGCATCCATGTCTTTGATTTTGTACTTCAGCGAGATCGTGAGGTTGTACGGAATACCCCATATCATTACATCTGATATGGATTTCAAGTTTCGTAGTCATTTCTGAAAAATTTTCTAGGAAACACTTGATACTAAACTCCAATTCAGCTCGACAGCTCATCCAAGGACAGATAGTCAAACGGAAGTGGTGAACAATAGCACAAAAAACCTCCTAAGGTGCTTCATAGAAAAGAGCATCAAGCAGTGACACCTGCTTCTAGCCCAGACCAAATTTACCTACAATATGTCTGTGAGTCAAACTAGAGGACGCGCACCTTTAGAGATTATGTATGGATGCAATTCACTCGCTCAGCTTGAGTTAGTACCAGTTCTTCTTATTAAGGAGGTTGAGGAGAGAGTACATGAAATTCAGAGGTTGCACGACAAAGTTGAGGAAGAAATCACCATACGGGATCACAAGTTCCAGGCGCAAACTAATAAATCCAAGAAGGTGACCCTCCAGGAAGAAAATCTAGTGTGGATCAGACTGAAGAAAGAAAGATTTCTCCTAGGATCATTCAAGAAACCCAAACCAAGACAGGCTGACCTTTCAGAATCCTCAAGAAGTTGAATGATAACGTCTAAAAGATTGATTTACCGGAGATTATAATATCTTTGATATCTTCAACATGAAAATTTTGACTAATATACTACGAGGGCACCGAAGCTTCGACAAATGAGATTGAAGCTCCCCCAATTCCGGAAAACTAAGACGGATGTAAAGGCTGGACCAGCTTGCAGGGGAACCTAAGACCAATTACACAGGTCCAATTAGACAAAGGAAGGGTCGACTAACCATCTCGGGGTCAGGAGTTGCCGCCCAAGGGGAGTGGACCACTTCTTTGTCGACTAATAATATTTATACAATGTTTTGTGTGTTCTAGGTTTAGTTTTGATTCAGTTATCTGCCAAGGTAGTCGTCGGCGTTCAGGTTTCTCCTTCTAAGGTTGTATCCGAAGACGAGAAGATGTTTCAGTTGAAACTCCCCAATTTCCCAACCTTCATCCCCATCACCTGACATGTCGCCATCCCTGTCGGAATTGTTCTGTTGATAGTCTTGTTGTTGTCTAGCCGCCGCCTATCCCTTTTGGCCCCTAAATCTTTGTTGCCGCTCCTTTCCCGACATGATTCCTCCGCCACCACCCAGCCAATTAGATTCATGCGCTTGTTGGTGTTTGTGTTGAGTGTCTATTATTTTTTTCCTATTTCGATATGTGTCTGTTGTAAACCCTATTTGCTTCCATAATAAAAGTTGCTTTTTCCATTGTTGTCTAGGTTAACTCCAATATTAGTCAAAAAACTCAAGGGAGATCTACGTAGCACAAAATTCTTGTATATTTACTTTTGTAACATCTAAAATTTGATATTTACTTATAGTAGAACACTCAAATCTTTAACATTGCATCAAAAATATCATCACAAAAGTAAAATACACCTTTTTATGCATATGATTTAATTTGATTGTGATAATAAAGTGCTGGATAAGTAAATATCAAATTTTAGATGTTATAGGTAAATCCGACAAAAGCTTAATTAAGGCGCAAACTCATTAATTTTAGAAAACTGCACTCCTAAATCTAATTTAGTAAACTTTGCAATAATTTTATTAAAGTATTGGGGATAGAATAAATTTCATTTTACAACCTCATACAATACAAGAGTTTGAAATGGCATTCTGACATTCTACAAATTGTCTAGGATAACTGATATGGAAATATCTTTAGCTGAAATAAATATGTTGTCGGAACTTACAATATCTGTGCCGATGATGTAATCAAATGGAGGGCAAACAGCTTTTATGTGATCTTCATTTCCCCAATTCAACTCAGCAACCTCAATAGAACCAAAGGAAGCTGTGCAAAAGTTCACTATGGCAGGTTCAACAAACATGCAAGTGTAAATGCAACAACAATTTAATACTTGAGATTTGTTCGGAATCATTTTTATTTTTTATTTTTTATTTTGTTTTTATGTTTGCTTTATGTTTAAAAGCATGTTTGTTTGGTACATTTTTTTTCTTAAATATTATTTGATTTTAGAATAAATTAACTTAAAAGAAAAATACTTAAAACAACAGATGTTTTGTGTTTTTAAAAATAATAACCACTTGCAAACAGTTTTTTATTTATTTCCAAGTAAAACATAAAAAAATAAATTAAAAATAAAAAGGGGAATTGCATACATAGCATCATTTCCTATGGATTTACATATCTAACATTTACACTCTACTTTTTACCCTTATACCACACAAGTCTTTCATATAGCATCAAACATGCCACTATTTTAACTTTAAAATGTGAAATGCACCTTTTCATGCATAGGAAAGGTGGTGTATGCGAAAAATTGAAGCATAGGTGTTAGATATGTAAATACATAGGAACTGAGTGGTATGTATGCACCTTCCAAATAAAAAATAAAAGTGAACCCACGGCCCATTAGTTTCTTTTACTCCTTACTAGCATAACCAAGCATGGAATATTGGAATGTTAGTAGCATGAATGAGTACAATAGCTTAGATTAAATTTACTAGATCAGAAAGACTAAAAAAGAGGGATCAAGGTAAGGTAAGCTAAAGCAAATAAATATAGTAATCAAACAGAATAATAGTATTGAAGATGGAAAGAAACCATAGCCGTTCTTTTTGCACCAAATAGGCAGCCCAAAAGATGGAAAAAAATTACAAACTATGAATAAAATCTATGGGGCATTTACATACATACCACCCAATTCCTAGGTATTTACGTATCTAATGCCTAAACTTTACTTTTTTACATTTGTACCATCCAAATCTTTCATATCACATCAAAAATACCACCATTTTAACTTATAAAAAGTGAAATACACCTTTTATGCACAGGTGAAGCGGCGTGTATATAAAAATCATAGTTTAGGCATAAATACATAGGAACTGAGCGGTACAGGTGTAAATCTTCCTAAATGTTTATGAATGTTCAGAGCACACCTGAATCATTTGCTTGCATTATCCATGAAGTGTTGCGCTCAACATTCTTCATTAGAAGAGGTAGGACCTCAATTTGGTCTGTCGAAACTACATCGCATCCTAATAGTGCCATTCCTGGAAAGCAATGTCTCCAATAACTTGAATAAATGAGGTTGTAATTGCATACTTAATAGTTAATAAGCCTACATCTGTTAAAATAAAACTAAAAATTAAAAGTGGCATTTAAAAACATACTACCAAAACAATTAAAAGTGGCATTTAAATACATACCACCAAATTCCTATGTATTTACATGTCTAAAACCAAAACTTTGCTTTTTACATTTATACCACTCAAATTTGCAATCAGATCAAAAATATCACCATTTTAACCAGTAAAAAGTGAAATACACATTCTCATGCATAGATAAAGTGGTATGTCTGTAAGAATTAAATGCATGGGAATTGAGTAGTATGTTCGTAAATCTTCCAAATTAAAATAATAAAAAAAAAGACGCTGAGGTCTGTTAAAGCAGAATAAAGCATCATTAAGAGTCACTCACCTAAACCAGCTAAACCACAACCAGCTCCAAGCTCAATAGCACGTTTTCCTTTCAGCTTGGATGGGCTAAATCTACCTTTTCTACTGTTCTTTTCCTAAAGACGCAGACAGTTATGCTAAAGTGTGAGATGCTACAAAATTCACTAAAATATTTAGGGGCATTTACATACATAACACTCAATTCCTACGTATTTACATATCTAACATCTAAACTTTACATTTTACATTCATACCACCCAAATTTTTTATATCACATCAAAATGATCATCATTTTAACTTTTAAAAAGTGAAATACACCTTTTCATACATAAGGAAGGTATAAATGCAAAAACTGAAATTTAGCTGTTAGATATGTAAATAGATAGGAATTGGGCGGTATGTATGTAAATCTTCCAAATATATAAAAGAGAGGTTATCATTTTCTTCCACGAAACCAAACCTGAGTGATGGTACCAGAAATTGAAGTATGTAGGACTGAAAAAAAAAAATAGTTGAAGTTTTTTTTGGGGTTGGAGAAAATGATATTTAAGTAGCACTAAAAAAGGATAATAGCATCATTAGCCTTATCAGAAATTTTTGGGGTAGGCTTTCCAAATATTCTTCTCTATTTATTTGTCAATTATCATGCACTGCAAATGAGGTGAAAAATAAATAAAAGTATCACATTATATCATTGGCCAAGCAACACATGAATATAAGCTTAAATGATTATTACTAACATGAGAAAGAACTAAGAATAAATCAGTCATAAGGTAACCCCACAGTCGGAAAATAAAAAATAGGAAATTTCATTATTACATACAGTTGAATTTAATTAAGAGGTTTTTAGTTTGCTGAAAAGGTGATGCAATGTAAAGTGAATGCAATGCATGAGTAATGTATTATATGTGACATACTTTGGAGCTGTTTGGTTTGCTCTAAAAGAAATGAATGGTTTTTTTTTTTTTTTGATTGGTTTGAAGTAAAATGAAAATAGTGTATTTTAAATAATGCATTTGTCGATGATGGTCAACAGTCGGCCGATGGGGATGATCAGTGTTGACTAATGACGGAGGTGATCAATGGTGGTGACCGGCGGAGGCAGCGGCGGGCAGAGGCAGCCTGTGACATAGGGAAGTGACAGGCTATGGGTGTCTGGTGGCTGGTGGCAGTGTCAGTGGCCGGCGATGGGTGTTGATGGTGGCCAGTGGCAACGGCCAACTACAAAGGGATGTGGTGGCCGGCAGCAGGCTGTAGCAGGAGGTCGTAGGTGGGAGGATGACAGAGGTTGCAGACGACAATCTATGGGGGAAACAGAAATCATTTTACATTCAACAATATTTTTGGAATTCGGCCAAATCAGATGAATTCCGAATTCAAAGAAAATAAACTAACAACTAAATTTCAAATACAGTGTTATTTTACATTGAATCTCAATTTTTTCTGAACAAACAACTGAATTTCCAAAACCCCTGCATTGGAAATGCAATGCACTCCTAATACCGCCAACCAAACAGCCCATAAGATGGTTATGCCCGCACTACCATTGGAAAATCAACTTTTAAAGTTATGCATGTATCACAATCGAGAAAAAATGTAGATCTCATATCCTCAACGTTCATGCATATTCTGATTATGATGCATTATTTACTAAGCATACAAATAAGTTGCGTGAATTGTTTAATAAGAGAGGAAGATTTACATATATACCACTCAATTCCTATATATTTATACATATGTCAACTATACTTCAATCTTTACATGCATACCACGTTACTTTTAAATGAAAAGGTGAATTTCACTTTTTGAAAATTTACTTCATTTTTTAAGATGTTAAAATAGAGTACATGATATAAAGATTTGGGAAGTATAAATGTAAAAAAAGTAAAGTTTAGGTATTGGATATGTGAATACATAAGAATTGGGTGGTATGTATGTAAATGCTTGTAGCCATTATCATTACCAGGAACTTGATGAAGACCATAGATGAATCCCAAACAGTTGTACCGAGATGCTTAGAGTTAGGATTCTGCAAACAAGAAAGCTTGTACTGATTTGCAGCAAAAAAATAGATCATTGTCGGTGAGATATATGCTCATGTAAAAGAATCTTCTAATTGGTTATTATTTTTTTGGGAAATTTACATGCATATCACAAAATTTTATTTATTTACTCATAAACACCTTCGGTTTGATATTTACACAGAACAATTTGGTGTAATAGACCTATGCATGAAAAGGTGTATTTCTCTTCTAAAAAATTAGTAATAGTGATATTTTAAAATAAAATTAAATATAAAAGTTTAGATGGTATTTAGTTAGCATTTGGTAGCAAAGTTTTGCGAACCATGTTATAAGCATATCAATGGATAGGAAAACATCAATAATGCACAGATATGATACACTAAAAAATCATCAATTATATAAGATGACATTAAACTAAAATTACAGCAAAAGCATGTGAATGCCTACGTCCAGAAATTTACAAAATGTAAGCCAAGGAGTAATTTTAAACAAAATTATGAAATGGAAAGGCAATTGAAAAGACTAAAATCAGACACTAAGAGAACCGTTTAGGATCATTTTTATTTTTTGCTTTCTATTTTGTTTTTATTTTATTTATTTATTTATTTTTAATGTTTTGATTTGAAACAAAATATGTATGGTATGTTTGATTAAGATAAAGTTCTTTTTGAAAACACTTAAAACACCTAAAAGTTATTTTAAGTGTTTTCAAAAATATGTTTATTTGTTTTTAAAAACAAAAATTAAAAATATATTAAAAATACATTAAACAAATATGTTTTTAAAAACAAAGAAAAAAAAAACAAAACAAAACAAAATTGATCCCAAACAAACCCTCAAACCCTAAGAGTTTGTCTGGGATCACATCCTTTTTCTTTTTTTTCTTTTTTTTTATTTTTGGCTTTTATTTTAGAAACATGTTTGTTTAGTGCATCTTTTTGCTTGTTTTTATTTTTTTAGTTTTAAAAACAAATGATTTTTTTTGTTAGAAACACCCAATACATCTAAAAACTATTTTTAGTGTTTATAAAAACGGTTAAAAAATAAGTTATGAAATAACAAACATGTACTATTTCAAGCAATAATATAAATAAAACAAATAAAAATAAATAAATAACAAAAATTAAAAGTGATCTCAACCGGCCTCTAAATATCAATTACATTGATCAACATAACCCGAACCATTCACGTGGCACAAATAAGTTGTGCATTCTCACTTAAATTACAACTACAGATGATTTAAGTATTCTATTAACCTTAACAATAAGGATTAAGAAGTAAAGCACAAAGGGACTGTTTGGCATCTTGGCATCATAAATTAGATGAAACAAAAAAAAACCCTCAAAAACACAAAATAGGTTCATATTTACCTTTTGGAAGCCATGCCAGGCACTAAGAAGGCCGTTTAAGATCATTTTTATTTTTTGCTTTCTATTTTTGTTTTTATTTGAACTTTTTTATGTTTTAATTTGAAACAAAGTATGTATGGTATGTTTGATTAAGATAAAGTTGTTTTTGAAAACAATTAAAACACCTAATAGTTTTTTTGAGTATTGATAAAGAGAGTGAAATCATACAGAAATTCTTTATGTATTTACTTATCTCACACCTAAGCTTTCATATTTACACCCATAGTACTCAAATATTTAATATCATGTCAAAAATAACACTGTTGTCACCTTTTAAAAGTAAAATACACATTTTCATGCATAGGTTTACAGCCCGAGGTGCTATGTATGTAAATATGAAAGTTTGTGTGAGATAAGTAAATACATAAAAATTGTGTGCTACATATGTAAACTTCCCCAATGTCAAACCCTCATTGCAGTTAAGAAATGGCAATGGGAAATAATGAAAGTAGAGGGTAGACTATACTCAACACAGGTTTATCGTATCAAAAATTGCTAAAAAATGTATAGCAAAACATTAAATAATTCAAAGATTTTCAAGCCTACTCTTTTTTTTTTTTTAAGTGCTCTCATCATTCTAAGTTCAAAGCCATTAAATAGGGAAAGTTTATAGAAATAATCAAATTCTATCAAAATTATTTAAAACATTTTACCTGAGACAAATGCAGATGATACCCTAAGACATCAATTAGCACAGCTGATGTGCTGGGAGAATTCAACCTAGCAAGGCATGGACTTGATCAACAAATCAATTCAAAGGAATTATGAAGACTAAAATATTAATAAATAATGGGAGAAGAAATATCACTAGAGCGATAATTAAGAGCAAATGATATGTATATCATCGTGATGATTATGGGATATAATAGACTACCAGAAAAAAAAAGAAACATAGACATAAAAACCATGATGGTGCTAGAGAATCAATTTTCTTATATACCAAAAAAAATCTATCATAGTGATGATTTTTGCGTGAAGTCAATTATTGGAAACTTAGAGCGCAATAAAATTAACTTCATATGATTTCTACCAATTAGGAGAAGGAACATGATTGCACGTAATAATAGTTTCACTTGGCGCATTAAAAAATAAATGTGTGGCAAAGGTACATTGAATTCATGAAGTTTGGTAGGATGATGCCTTAGCCAATGATGCATGATCGGAAAGTTAAATACTTGGTTAAATATTTGAAAATAAAATGTTTTGAAGATAAAAGTCAAAATGAGAATTTCTGTGAGAATGATGATAAAAAAAATTACAAAAAATCTATGAAATGTTAGTCACGTGAGATAGGTTGACAGATAATGAATTGCAGGTGGAAGGACAAAAGTTCTTTTAAAATGGTCTCAATATATGCCAAAATGGGTTTCTGACTCTAGATACTAGAAAGTTGGGCAATTCTACTTTAATCAAGCAGTTGTTGATAACCGTTATATTGGATTTAATCCAAACCTTTTCAATGGTAATTATGGCTGATAGACAAGATGAAAACCACATGATATAAATGTGTTGAAACATTTGTAGATATATTATGAAACATTAACTAATAAGAATGAGAAAGAAAATGAAAATAAAAAAAACAAATTAAGACAACCAACAATTGACAAGCATAACGCGTCAGTCTCCCGCCTGATTTAATATACTCAAATCTGTGACATTTGAAACACTTCCTGATTGAGACAGATTTGGGAATGCGGATTGGTTCAGCCTATTCTTCACTCTAAACTAATTTCTCCTCAGGCGGGGGGTCGGCTTGGATGTTTTGTTGGATGTGCTCTTGCTACTTGATCTTGGGGTTGAAATATCTGTAAGATGCGACAGTCATCCGATGATGTTATCTCTCTACTATGGAAGTTAGAGTCGGAACATCCTGCTTATAAAGAACCGGGAGTTACTGGCACTATTTCTCTCATTCCATCTTAAACTGAATAGTAATTTTACTATTTTATTCTCGTTGTTGAAGAATATTCAAGTTCATCCGCCACTGAAATGCATTCTTCATTAACTTGCTAGCTGCTAGTTTCATCATTATGTCTGATGGGTCGTCCTGGCACTCAAAAATAAATTACAAGAATGTTCAGAGTCATTCGAGAAACTCGTCTGGATCCATATTACCATCGAAATATGATAAATTCATATTTACTTCAAAATCCCGACTTCTCCAATATTTCATGCCAAATTCTTCATCTAACGAAAATTGTGTGACCCCTCTGGAGGTCTCCTCTCGAATGCAGTAAGTCTCTATTGCAGTTGGACCTCCCTAAAATTTTCCTAGACACGTTTTTATGGATTTCTCATAAAAGACATCGTGCCCTTTCTCCTCAAGCCAGCTTCAAGCTATTGTCTCCCGGTGGCATGGTTACGGTTTGGGTAGATGGAAGAGAGTGTATAGGGGTTGTGTAGAGTGGGAAAGAAAAATTTTGGGTGACCAGTATGAAAAATCAGCAAAAAGAAGAGTTTTGGGTGGATATAGGGTTGAGTATTGATGGATGCTACAAACTCTATGATAGGATTACTGTTAGGCTAGCTCTAATACAAAATGATGTCAGAGTTAACCCAAAATAACACTAGAAAAGCAAATGTTACTATTGAAAGCAAATAGGTGATTACAATCAAACACGATTGAAAGGGAAATACAACAATAGACATAACCAAATAACACCAAAGTGTGTTCCACGATTGGTGGAGGTTAGCTAGGTGGATCGAAATGGTTGGTGGGTGTGACGGCATAAAGGAATGCTGGTAGCAGCGAAGGGGGAAGGAGCAAAATTGCAAGGAAAATAGGTTGGTTGCTGTCCTTGCTGGTTGCAGCGAGGAGTTGAAGTGGGTAGCAGTGGAACAGCAGAAAGGCGGTGTTTCCTGGCTGTCCTGGGCAGTGGCGGCAAGGTGGGAACGCCGGAATAGCAAGAACAAGCCTGTAAAGGGAAAGGGGAGGCAATTGGGAAGCTAGAGGTTGCAAAAAAACAGCAAGGTAAAGAGGTTTTTGGATAGCGACAACGGTACAAGATGGTTGGACAGTGGCAACGGCGAAGCGGAAGGGTAAGGCGACCACGATGGCTAGATATGGAAACAATAGCAACCAAAATGTTGTCTTGGGCAATTACAGCAATGAAAGGCGATCGGGAGCGATGTGGGGAAGATGCGGAAGAGGATAGAGAAGATATACCCTACCTGGCGAACAAGATACAGCTAAAGCACCACCTGGACCCTAAGATACAGTTCTCAAAAGGAAGAAGAGACGTAGGTGGCTCTTTTGATACAAAACAAACAAAATTGAAAACCTAGAACAATAGAATCAAATATATAAACCTAGATAACTAGGATTGGGTCCATCTATGGAAAGGAGGTGCTAATCCCTTATGGAAGAGCCGATCGACTCTTCCGAGTCTAAACCGGTTCGGTCCAGATGTTTGGGACGCGGAAAATAATCCCGCGCCAACCCCCACACATCTATTTCAGCACATTAAATAAATCAACAATTTCTAATAGGTATAAATTATTATTAGAAATTTTGTAGCCAATTTTGATGATTTCAATTATACACGCCAATGTATTAATGATTTTAATGGATCTATTAGAAAATTTTGAAATATAACATATGTTTTGTGATGATCTAGGTAGATTAGCTATCTATACTCTCAATCCAAGCTAATTAAAGTCCATATTGGTCCTTGAGTGAAATATGTCTTACTATATTATCCACCTTTGCTATGTCACATATTTACAAGAGGGGACAAAGTAGGGCATAATAAATACAGCAATCATCAAACACATTTCCAGACAAAAGCTTAAGTTTGTAGGAGAAAGCTAACTACTTAGTATTTCAAACCTACTCAGTATTTCAAAACCAACATATTTTTTCAATAATTTGATATAGGACTAAACTCAAGCTCTCATGAGTCTAAATAATCACCTCCTCACATGAGGGTTCTCCATATCAACCATCGGTAAACCACACACAGTTTTTAGCTTCAAGTAACATACAGAATATTGTTGGCATCATCAAGTATCATGCATTAAGGGCCCATTCAAATACATAAAGCCATCGTGGGTATTACTCGCACTTGAATCACCTTACTCAATCATTATAGAAAACAACCACGCCTCATGAAGGCCACAAACCACATAACTCGATAGATTGAAATTAAACCATCGTCTCAAATACAAGTTGTTAAAAAGGATGAATCAAAAGGGAAAAAAGTTTGGCTAAAAAACATCAATGATCAAACTGATTTTCAACACAAAATTTAAGCCTATAAGTAGAGGCTCAACCACTAGGTATTTTACACAAACATATTCATTAACTATCTAATAAAAGACTAAACCCAAACTCTCACATGCCTTGATCTTTAGATCGAATAAACATTATATGACGATCTATGTTGACCAGTGGTTGGTGGCTGGAGGTGGCCTACCGATAACATTATATATTAATTAACGGTCTAAATCTTAGTTTTGGTCAAATCGGTCAAATTTTAAATTCATCCAAAATGAAGGTGCAAACTTCAAATTCATTCATACTTTATATTGTATTTGTAATTCTTCGTAACAAAAACTTAATTTTCTAAAATCTCTGCAAAAGAATTACAATACATCACAAATTCTCCCAACTAAACAGGCCCTAAATATAACTACCATTATAATGAGGTGTGAAAAAAATGAATAGCAAATTGCTAGATATAATAATATTAAAGCTAACAGTTTAATTAAATATATTCCAATATCATGTTAGTAGCTAAAAGCCACAATAGGAAAAATGTAAAATATGATGATCTATTAAGTGGTAATACTCAAGGTAAGACTTGAACATAAATCTTTGGTTTCTATGGTGGATCATTTAAGAGAACATATAGCTCAAATATTTAGCCTATTGCAAAGAGGCACAAAATACAAAGAAAAATGTATAACTAAATCTTAATTATTTATTGCATAATATCAATTGGGGAGCATGAAGAATTATTAGAAATGTTTTGTTGATTCATGTTACTAGATAAAGTTAAATATAAGACAAGATTAATCCATCAAGCCTAAATCAATGGATTTCAACGCTTTATCACCCAACTCAAACAAACTTGTGGTGGAATTAATTTCAAAATGGTGTAGGATCATGGACAACCATGTATGGATCTATTTTAGAAAAATAAGAGGTAGAAAGTAAAGGGAATGAAAAGTAAAAAATAAAATTTGAAATCCATAAAGGAAGGAGAAATAGTTAGAGGCTACCTTGAATGAAACTTGAATCTATTGATGTGAACTACTGAATAAAACCAATAATGTATCATTCTATTGTTGCATCCTCCGTTTAGGGATGCAAATGAACCGAACTATCAACAAACTACTCATAAATTAACTCAATTAATCCCCACTTATGATTATTTGATTAATCAAACAAGATTCATCACTTCTATAAATAGTCAATTTTTAAATGAACAAACTCGAATAGGTCGTTGCTCGATTTATTCATGGTCATAAACAATATCATGTAAAATTCATGATCAAGCTTTCTATGAAGCATGATTTTGGCTTGATATAAAGCTCAATTAAAGACTTAACGCTCAAGAAAGCATCCACTAAAGAAGACGGTATGAACAAGACTTGAATATGAACAAAACTCGTTAATCACAATATGAACAAACTTGAACCAAGCTCAAATCAAGCTTGAGCAAGCTTTTGGTAAACGAGCTAAAGCTTAAATTTTATCAAAAAAGTTTGAATTGAGTTCAAGTTGAGATTGAACAAACTTGTAGTGAACAAGCTAGAGCTTGAACAAACACACGTTCGACTTTGTTAGTTTGTTTATAGTACCTCCTTTTCTTTGATTGGTTCACTTGGTTGGGGAGAGAGAAGGAAAAAATAATTAATCTCCTTCAGGAAAGAAAGAATGGGGGGCGGGAGAAGATGAGAAAACACAATAAGTAAGGGAGAAGAAGCAAAATATTTATCGCTAAACATAATTTTTTCATGAAATATGGCATAATGGCCTCTGATATATATATATATATATATCAGATAGAGTTAATAGTTAATAACCTAACAAATGGAAATAAGGTTTAATATTGAAATAAGCCTTGTTATTTCCTCCTTTTGGATATAGGAATAAATAAAAATAACCATTCATATGCCCTCCATTTTGTTATGGTGAGGACATCCAGTTTGATATGAAAAAAAAGTGCCCATTTCATGCATTCTAAATGGTAACTCTAATGAAGTTATTCCCTTAGTGCTCAAAGCCACCTTGTAGTCTTTGATTTTGCAAGCTTCATTTAGGTTCATGAAGATAGCCTAAAGCAGTTTATCATGTTAGTTAGGTTAGAATTTACATAAATACATACACATGCACACGCACACAAGTACGCGTTTATAATGATTGTTAGAAAATGCATAAATAAAATGAGAGCAAAAGCTAAGGTTGAATGATGACAAAAGAAATATTTGTGTAGAAATGGTTTAAAACATCACGTCCCAAATAGTATAAATGAATGAAAAGAGATTATGGATTTATAAAGCTAACCCTAACAAATGAGATAAGACTAATTATGTTAATGTGAAGAAATATTATTTATCTCCGTTGAAATGGCAATATTTTGACTTAAATGAAAGAATTATATATGGCAAACAGACTAGGCACAAAATGATATAATAGGCTCAAGGTTAAAGAATAAATATATTCATTAATTAAAGGCACTTCTATGCAGAAAATATATAAGAGAAATACTCAGCCAACCAGCCAATAATGTAAAAATGCACTTACATACAAGCCACCCAGTTCCTAAGTATTTACATATCTAACACCTAAACTTAGCTTTTTACATTCATACCACCCAAATCTTTTACATAACATAGAAAATAACATTTTTTTTTACTTTTAAAAAGTGAAATACACATTGCCATGCTTAGGAAAGGTGGTATATATTGTAAAAATTTAATTTTATGAGTTAAATATTTAAATACATAGGAATTCAGTGGTATGTATGTAAATCTCAATCTTTGACAAGAAGCTAGCACGTAAAAAAAATGAATATAAGGCTTCCAATGTGTTCAAGTGCATATCCTAAATACTAGAATCCAATTATCAGCATGTAAACTCTCTGGAAAGACGCCTAAATGTATTACTATCTAAATTTGGAGTAGTCAATCCACATCTTGTTCCCAGCTTTTGCTCCGCAAATCTTGCTAAACAATGGAGAACATCCCACTGTAGTTCACACTATTTTTTAAAATTATGGTCCAACCCTAGCCCTATAATTCAGCTCAACATTACTTCAAAAGTAAACGTTTAACTGAAGATCCGAAAGCATCTGTAGCAGGGTAACAAGCTGAATGCTCTCCATCAGAAAGAAGATTAACACAGCTAAGGAATCCGATTTATCATTTACTGTTGGTTCCAAAAGGAGAAACCCACAAGGCTTTGGTTCAGAATTAAGCATAAGAGGAATGGGGCCATACACCATTGACCAGAAAGAGAGTAAATAACAAGTTTCAGAAAATCCTGTTATTACCTGTCTTCCTCCATTGGAGATCACCGTCTACGCTCCACGGCCGTAGGAGTATTGATTAGCAGCAGCCGCGAGAGGGTGAAGGAGCGAGACGACAAAAAGTGCGGACATAAGCAGCGATTTCTAATTTCTGTTTTTTTTATTTTCTTATTAAATTGGTTTCTTTTATTATTTATTTAATAAATTAATATATTAATCATAAATGCATGTGTTTTAGAAGTGCATAAACAAATATAATTTATATATATATGAAGCTGTCCCAAAAAAAAATAAATATATAATATAAATAAGTTCTTAAATACTTTTTTTAAAGAGAGAATATATAAAAAATAAATATAAATAAATTTAATTTGAGTGATTCATGGACCATACATTTATCCGTGTTAAGATCATATTAATTTTTTATTTTATTTACTTTATAAATCAATAGGAAAAATATATTGCAAAAAAAAAAAACAATTATATTCACATGCTATGAAAGTAA